AAAAATCGATTCTGTAACAGTTAAAACGAAAGCGATATCGAATGCTCTTCTTCTATAAAAAGTCTTTCTTTCACTTAATCCGAAAATACATAGAGGACCTTAGAAACAGAAAGTTGCGTAGTCTGGTACTTGAGAATCCTCTAAGAAATCAGTTCCCGCTCATCTTCCTACGAAAGAAATACCTACCAATAAGTTTCATAATTGCAAACGGCTCATTCTGTTATCAGATCCTGTTGACTTCTTGTGGATCGTTCATAACTGGTATTTCCTTGCCACCACCGACTATCTCATGGCTAATACAGGCACATTAAAGTGAATTATTCGCCTACATTCACCAATGTTGCTAGTGATTTAAAATGAAAGGAAACAATTCAATCAGATGAGAAACTCAGTTTGTGGTATGTGATATTCGTGACAAAAAATTTCCCACCTCAAGTTTTGTAACGCCAATAACCTCTCATCAAAGTACTCGAGGCGTAGAATCAGACACCAAACATTGACTTATTTACCTCAACTATTCAGGAACTGTTCCGAGGGACATATTCTCCTCTTCTTACATAAAACAAGACCAGCAATCCAAGGTGACTTGACGAAGACTAATCGCGGCAGCTGTAACGCTTATAACGACAAACAGCGAAATGTATTGCAAAGTGGATTGGGCTTTCAGTGAACCCATTATATCCAGTTGACACCACTTATTTTCCACGAAGTATTTTTCTTTTCCTGTAGGTTTAATTTAGCCTATACGGTTCTAGAATCTTATACCTTTCTTTACGGTGGCATTTTCTTGAACTTTATTACCATATAGTACTTATATTTGTTAATAAGTAGAACACCTCTTACTTTCCACATTATCCTTGCCTAACTCAATATTTCTATTGTCACTTAATCAAGTCTTCATAAATGTCTTCGCAAAAAGTGACTCGACTTAACTATAGTTGTCTTGCTAGCAGCATTAACTGACTGCAAAGTTCCGGAATTTTCTTTTCACTGTATCTGAAATCCTAGACATACCACTGCCAAGAAGTAATTTCGTCCCTATCCTACCCTCCACATATTTCTATGGGTCTATATTTGAACCATGTATGTCTTTTATATTTCTATTATTCGCCAAACAAATTCATCATTATGTTTCGCGAACATCAGTCAGCTAAGGTTTCCATCATAATTTTACTTAGTTAATAAGGCACTAACCAATACCTCGTTCACTAAGGTACACGAGGCACTATTACTTTTCTCGACATTTATACGGTGAAAGAAACACTAACTTGAAAATGGTTTTCAAAACCACTTCATATATTTGAACCATGAATCAAACTGAAATCAGTTATCTAATGTAGATACGAAATGCTCCAAGATTACATGAGGCCTCTGAGCTATATGGATTCATCATACATCCATCTTTACCTGGCTTACCACCTACTAATGGAGGTTCAGTGGCTTGCCCATCGAGGGGTGATTGTAGGGCATCCTAGTGACCAGTCATAGACTTGGTGATGTTGTATTGAATAACTGGGGTATACTCTTGTTGAAAGCCACAAAATTAGAGCAGATTGCTCTATGACTGCATGGCGTATAACTAATGTGTGTTCATTTCTTCCCCTGGAGAAACCATTCTCATTAAGGCAGATAAGGCAGGTGGATTCTTCTCACTTTTTGCTAATCGTGACTGAAGATGGACATATAGTCGTTGATAAGTTCCTATCCACCTGCTGCTTTTATTTCATATCCATCAAAATGCACCAATTTGTAAGTAAAATACGAAAATTTACTTAAGCACCTGTGTTATTATTGACTTAATATCGGCAAGATGAGCTAGTATTGAGCCGTGTATAGCTTTAATGTAAAGATAGAAACTGGGCAGTCTGATAGAGTGTAAATTCATTGTAGAAAAACGTTATCTTGATTAAGTCTCAGTCTGTCAGAGTTAATCAAAACAGACTTTGCTTTATTTGTTCCTTTGCCCAATTAGGAAGGAGAGTGTTAGGAAATTTGACGATGATTTTTTCTTAGAATGTGTTCGACATGCCTTGACCGACAAAACTGATGTATACATAGGGAATGTTTTTTATTCCGTGGACGAATTTTATTGGTTAGTAATTGAATTTTCGATTTTCCGTCGATTGATTAGACCGAAATGTTCGGTCTCAGGTTGACATGTCGGCTTTTGTGCAGATCCTTCGACGATGTCTTGGCATATAATTCGAATTTAAGTGGTGAATGGTGACTAGCAATGGAATGAAGGATGCGCATTCCGTCTTATTTGGGACTCGTCAACTGGATGTACCTGCATTCCCCAGTGAGTGATGATGTTCCCATCGAGGCTCAAGCCCAGTGCCAATAGTTTTAAATCATTATCCATTAGACCACTTGGGCCACGGTAACCACCTCTTGTGCAACGGCTCATATTATTTATTCAATTGAATTTTAGATTTTTCCGTTGATCGATTGAACCCAATTGCAGGTACATCCAGTGATGAGTCCCAAATAGGACGAAATGTGCACCCTGGATTCCACTGCTACTTATCATACAACAATGAAGTTTAATGGTGTCGAAAATCGTTTGGTCAACTCATCTCAAACACCGTGATACAGGCTCTCTGTTGACTGCCTTAGAGACATTAATTTGCTCGCTTACTTAGGCAATCTTAACTCCAACTATCTACATTCATATGTTCATTGCAAAATGTAGTCTGATATACTCAGTAGGTCACATATATCCACAAGCTTTTTGCTGAGTGCCTCAACGGAAATTAATACCTCTTCTAAAGTGAGCGAAACATCTAGGCAGATTTCGTTTATACTCTATGTGTATGAAACTCAGAAGATGACTACATTACCTAATTATTGGCCCCTCATTGTCAATGAAACGCCTGAAAATGGGAGTCGGTATTCTGTTTGTCTTACTACTGTTCCTTAAGATAAAATATGTAGTATAGAAATAGCAACGATATAAACCTGGATCCCCGACAGCATCCTTGAGAGGACCATTTGAATATAAGATTGCACAAGTCGCTCCTTTTTATTCCCAGAGAAGTTCATTCTATCTACACAACGCTTTAAGATACCTTAAAACAACCATCTTACATTTTGAATAAATGTTTTACACGATCGGAGTAATTCACGTTGATCAAATAAGTACAACCTACCTAGTTTTGCCTGTTTAATGTGTCTGTAAGTTTGACTTTGACCGTCACAATGTTCTTGCAGACCGATGAGTTCTGTTCTGGAACTCCAAAAATCATTCCACATCATTAGGCTGCGAAAACAATACTCATTCTAGATGGTGCTTAAGCAAAATATATGTCAGTATACTGAACGTTTCAGACTGGTTGATATATTCCACATGTATGATCTGTCGTTTAGCCCTACCAGCTTCTTTGCAGTAATTCAATTCTGGTTCAGACATTGCATTATGCTGTATCAAGCAGCCTTCCTAGTAAAATGATGATCGTTATTTGGGCTGCATTTATAACAGCAGCAAAATGGACACAATAGATTTACTGAGAATCGTTATAGTCAAAATACGATGATCTCTTTTAAGACCATTTCTTAAGCATCTAAACTTTTGGTAACGTCTTTAATTTATCTTTCATGCTATGGAGCGTTGGTATGATTTACTCATTCAAAATGATGTCAAATAGGCTTCTTTCACCTGATTAGTATCCTATGGAGTTTCATCAAAAGCAGTGTTGTAAATTCATTTAAAAAGTAACAGTTTCATACGAAACTGATATGAGATTTCTCTGAAGCACATCTTCAATGAGGTTAAACTTTTCTGGATAAATAATTCTGACTGAATATTATTTCTCCAGTGGCTAATAAGTATATACATAAGACCTTCATCTTTCTTACCTCTTACTGTTAGTAGGTTCGCATCTTCATCTCCTAGTTGTATGCTCTAACAAATTTTCGTAACTCATTTTAACAATTTCATCTGCGAATTATGTCAAACTACTCGTGCGTAGAAAATAGTTTGTTGCTATTCCGTAAACACGATTGATTCGCATTAAAATTTATCTCACACAATAAACACACATTCCATATAGGTTTAAAAAAATCAGACATCAGTAGTTAAAATATATCGCCTGTGTATAATGTCCTCACTTTTTTATAGATATTCACTGGCTACTTATTAGTGATCGCATACTGCCGTTTGAAACGTTTTATTGCTTTCATATTGGTATAGCATTAGGCACAGATAACTCAAAATTTGATGTATTTTAGATGAATGCTTGTGTTCTTTCGCTAGTGAGTTTCCTATCTGGCCGGCTGAAGAACCGATTTTTCTAACGGCTATTAGCATCAGCAACGTCAACGAAAACAGAACACGATACCCCTGAAAACTGGACCCATGAAGACAAGAAGAGAGGAGAGAATTTCAAATTAAAGAGCATTCACCCTATTTAGAATTCTCTTCAATAACTGATACGTCTTGCTCTATAAATCTTACGTTCGACTTAAAGTCGTTGGTTAGAATTTGTAAGAGGAAATGTTTATAAATTTCTGGCAATATTATCGCATTTTTACCGCTTCCACAAAAGCATTTCATTATTTTCACATTGTACGATTAATCCTCTAAGAAAATTAGAAGGCGTATTAAGCACTGTGTTGGAGACCGTTTAGGTAATAGATACACACCAGAACAAACTATAGAATTTTATTATAACTTTTGAGGCATGCAATCTAGTTAAGATGATTCTGTCTAACTCACTTTCACGAGTATTATTTATTTTAATGTATTCCCCTATCCTTTTTTACCCAGAAACACATATTTTTGTGTCAATACCATGTCAATTTTACTAGTCGACCTCTAAGAAAGTTATGCATATATCACGTTCAAAAGAAACGACTGAGCTATGTGAAATAAGTTCACCCCGGTGTCTAAATGAAATACTTTTCCGAGAAAATATTTTGATAGACTTATCCCTATCAATTTCAGTATCAAACTGTTATGTATTTTCGGAACGTTTTATGCTCAAAGACGCATGATGGAGAATGAAATAGAAACAACAATTTATTTCAGACGTTGTACTGAATAAAAACATATGTCTTTATGGAATACACTTTTTTAAGTCGTAAAATACTGATTAAAGATGCAATACATATTTATGTTGAAGATGATATTATTATTGTTATGACAGTATTCGACAAACATGAAAAATGACCATTTTGAGCATGTAGCGCACACGATCTAATGAAGATAAATAAAAAATAACAATAGGTTTATTCGTCAGACAAAAGAAATCAGTTAACATTACAGTATGCATATCTGAGGGAGCTTAAATTAACTTTATGCGGAGATTTCAAAAGATGACTCAACAGCTGGCCTAATGATAAACCATTCATCTCCAAGTCTTCAAGAAAAAGGCTTGTTTTCAAGATATTAAGCACTAATTGTGCAATGTATTCCTACTTGTTATACATGTTCTATTAATTACTTGGGAACATACTTAAACTTTTCATTGAAAAAAATATAATGAAACCTATTTTTGAATGGAGGAGGGACTTCTTACTCTATCCCTTAAAACATAATCACATTTTAGAAACAAATATTCATGCTGCCGACTTCAAAATTCAAGAATCGAAACCTTCGAAGTCATAATACCATGAGTCTTTATCTTTTGCACGCTGTGTGTCTTGAAGAACACTGGAGTGGTATCACTTGTGACATGTGTTTTGGTTCCGGTAGGATTAAAATTGCATATTTTCCTCAGAAAACAAATCCAATTAACATACTTTTACTTCTTACTCTCTGATGTATCATAATAGAAGTAGAAATATTTTAGTGTGAAGGTGGAAATAAATATCAGACTAATTCTAAATGAATATCGACACAATTAAACAAAACCAAAGGTGAACACTTTCCAGTTTATGTTAAAGTTATTCTGTTGATCAGAAGATGGAGCTGATAGCTGAATATATTTTGTTCGACAATAAAGTACTCGTCGAAATATCAGTCAAACGAATGTGTTTCTTTGGTAATCAGTGTAACGAGTAACGCGGTAATATTAGTAAATAGAGTACGTGGAAGTTATTTAAATGCTCAGTTTCTACTATGTTGATTCAAGATATCGGGCCGTCAGTCTACTCGGGTATGTGCTCTATCAAGTTCTTCTAAGGCATGACAAACAGGTTCCACACTTTCAATCAAAATATTTTCGGACTGCAACTGTGCATTAACACTTCGACTTTGAATTCTTTAAAATTTCAAAAATTGAGAGTGGTCTGACAGTTTTCTTCATTCACATGGTTTTAGACTGATAACTCTTCAATATTAGAAGGATGAGGTGGTGATATCTTTACTCAAAGATTTGAAGACAACCTGTAAATAATACTTAACCTGAATCTAACTGCAAATACATACGCATGCTGTTAGTCACCCTTTGTAAAAATCTGTCGCCCAAAATTGGCGTGAACTAAAGTTGTGACACGAAACTGCTTCCATGTTTCAAATTAAGTAAATATGATGTAACTAAACTGGGAACAATTTGTGAATCATCCATTCCTACGATTTGTGAATAACGCCTAACTAAAAAAGTAGCAGTATTTCAGTCTCATGACAGAACTTCCTTTTAAGTGTTTTCGCGGCCATTACTGAGAAACGAAATGAACCAAAATTTTCAATGAATATGTCATGTAGTGGATTTTAGAATATAAGCACTTTTGTCCACCTGAAAATATGAATAATTCCATTGTAGATAAAATTAATTTTGATAAAGTCACAATGTGTTATACAGTAATATTTATTGATGACAACGTTTCATATCTAGTTACTCACATTACTGTTGCAAAACGCCTAAGCATTTCCACTATTTTTCACTGCCCGATTTGATTCACAGTAATATTTTCCATATTTCAAACATCAGTGGTGAGTCGTTTCCATTCCAATTGTCTAGTGTCAACTCGACCAACAAGGATTCAGAAATCAACCTCTCTCTCCACCTAACTAGATTACTTCTCAGAGTTAGAACACCTTCCCACCCTTTTGTGTGGTTGTGTGTTAATGCATGCAGCAAGCTTTCTGAGTGTCTTTTTCTAAATAACTTGATGTCGACCATTTCAACGTCAGCTAAATTCTTTTGTTCTGACAATCTGACTAAGTAAGTATATCTGAATGGAGATATCACCATTCGTCTTCATTGGCTGCAAGAAAAGCCATAATGAATTCAGAATGTATTCGAAAGTGTGTTGCCTCTAGATTCATTACGTATAATTAAGTAAAGTTATCTTTAATCGAGTCAGACACGGGTGAGTATCCACATTGCCTATTAGGTCAATGAAAGCTTCACAAATAGACTATCAAGCTCAGAGAACACAAATACAACAGAATCATCCACCTGAGCTAAATATAGTCTCCATCATATCTATAACTGTGAATCACAGAGTAAGGATTGAGAAGTCAGCACAAGCTAGACTTTTTGAACACTAACATATTAGTCTACTTATAAAACGTAAGAACGCGTTTATAATCTGTACAAACGCATATTAATAGTTCACGTCTTTTGAAAGATTCAGTATTCACGAGAGTCGACTACATCATTTCTTTGCAGCCACTTCTGTCAAACGTTTTCAACCTAATTCTTGTCGACACACGGAAAGTAAGATTGCATTCGCAATGTACTTCAAATTGAATGCCAACTCAATTTGGTGAAAACGATTGTTCAACTGAAATTCCTAATGCGATCAGCAGCAGATAGATTAGCAGCTGTAGAATCGTCCTCCAGAATAGAAGATATGAATATACAGGCGTCATCGAAAGTGTTTTGAAAAATACTTTGAAACAGACACACGGAAATACAATTTTAAGAAATTGAACAACTTACTGGCCTTATAACCACTCAATTCTTCTACTAAAATGAAATATAATTCACGTTTGATAGCATAAAATATGGATACAAAAATATTTTCATAAGTCCAGTGATTTATAAAGTTTCTATACCGTGGAATCCTTAAACCTCCTCTGAATGTTTCCAAAACTTATCAGCTGAGTATTATGACCGAAATCATAATATTTTCTCCCCTCATCCGTGCAATCTTCTTCTTTTAAGGGTATAAGATTGCCACAATTTATGGCTCCGCTGATTTTAGTACCCTATTGTTACTTTCAGTGTTTTAAAAATGAACAACACTCTGTATCGCAGACATCTACGGAGGAATGGGAACTTTGAAGTCGTCCCGTTTAACGAAAGTACTACGCAAAGTATGTATAGCAATGTTGACAACGACCAGTGAACCGAGAGACTCTCAGCGAATAGAAAACGCGTCAAGATATTCAGAAAAGTATACTTTTCCCGGTGAATTATAAATATCCGAAATTTTGACGGCATAGTGTTCAGTGACAGATATGATAAAATTACTGTTGCTTCACTTATCTGACTTACAGTAAGTCACGTTTTTGCCTTGAACAGACCAATTTCAACAATTAAGTCAATGAACATATGTAAAAAAGGGGACATTTATTATTGATACCCATATACACGTGATATACGATTCTTCGTTTTTGATTATCCGATGAACAGATTATCTTGCAATGTAATTTATCAATCGCTTACTGTTTAACCAGTCGCTTATAATGCCACCTGTTTCGTCGGTAACATTCATCTTTTCATTCATTCTGAATGTTAACGGTCTGCATGGAGTAGTTCGGTCCATTACCATCTTGGGATGTGTTGTCTACTTTCGGAATATTTTCCACTACATTTAGGAATCATTCTCTGTCGAGCGAGTATCATATTTCTTACGTACAAAATAGTGGAGGTAATGTACCTCCATCGCTTGTAAACACAGTGTACTGGTTATACAGTGTGGATATTATGCAAATGCAGCTATATTCCCATGTAATTCTTTATAACGTGAGAGAAAGGATAATTGCCGAAATAGGTGTCTGAGCAATTTCATTTCAGATAATCAGTGAATCAGTAGTTAAGAGATGGGTAATTCACAAAACACACAGGTCGGAAAAGAAAATTTATTTATTTTTTTTATTTTTGATTTACAGCTTGATTCCACACTGTATTTTTGGTACAAGTATGAGGTGCAATACATTTCGTCTGTTAGAGGTGAAATACTATTTGAAGTTGCCAATAAGTATTATAACATTGAGTTTCTATTGAAGCAAAAGGTTTCAACAACATGGTTCAATCACACACTTTTTCATTATGGCCATTTTTCTCTGGCTCCGTAATTGCCTACGTGCTGTCATTTCCTCCTTTATATTTCTCACGGATGTAACACTTTTCGCCTTTACCCGTGAGTCAACTCCTGGGCATGTTTGGTGGTCACTCTTTGAGTTCTTCAATGTATATGCAATCAATCCCAATTAACGTCTGCTTACAAACTGGTTGAAAAGCTCTTGTCTGATTTGTTGCCACAATTCCTCGATGCTGGCATCTTGGGCCTGCCCACTGACGTTGCGTATCCTACGAAGAGGAAGGAAAAGTCTAAACAGTTGTACCTCAGATAACTATTAAAATCTGTAACGAAGAAATATTCGCGTCCCACAACGGAGAGAGTGAAGTTATGCCCAGCGATATCAACTACTTCGTATATCCAGATGACAAACTGAAATTTTAAAGTAGTTGTCATGACAAGAACCATCCTCAGTTAACCTTGGGTCCACTGAAGAACTAAACAGTGAGTAAAGTGGCTGGATATAATAAAATCGCTTTATAGAACACACTTCTCCCTTCACTTACAGCCCGGAAGCTTATCTGTACTTCCTACAGGCAAAATGAATGAATAATAGATTCAGAGGTCATTATCTGAATAATGAGAAGAATGCATTATTAGTAAGAGTTTGTCTACTGTTCGAAATACGATGAATTACTACTGCACATTCCTTACAGCAATGTTACTTTCATGATTATCCTGGGGAAACTGATCACTTAACCCCATCAACATTGCTTGACTCATGCGTGTCACCGACATTAAAAATATCTGACCTAAAGATTATTTATGCATTGATCTCCCATGATGTATTCAAATAAAAATAAAGATATCAATGTAAGAGAAAACTAGACATTACCTTTTCGCTGGTCATCAGTTTCTTCAATGAAAATTCGAGAAGATCAGCTATATTTTTAACTTAAACAGACATATTATGTTAAGTGTGCATAAAAACTTATGTCGACAGCTTAAAACGATGTCATAAACTGTAATTTATATCAGCAAAGTTGAAGAGATCCTCTGTAATTAATCGTTTTTTACTTCATATGCAAAATGTTTAATTCAACATCAACCAGCACATGAATTCTCTTGATAATTACTAACGGATCGAATGAATTTCATTCACAAATTTTGACTTCATTAGGAAAACCTAGAACACCAATATATATATAGATGTTGAATCATATGCTAAAACGAATGCAAAGAAATACATATGTGGGTCATTTACAAATACTAAGCAAACATTTTCAAAGTGCGAATACAAGACACATTGTGGAAATGGGTCATTTTGTTGAGATTTCCGATACCTTCAAAACATTAAACATACAAAGGACAGAGAATCTATTAGGATTCGCTGAATCGATTGCAATCAAACGTCTCAGATCAAACTTACGCACACAGAATGAGAGTGCAGTCAAACTGTGGCTCCCTTGATAACTACATTACATTCATTAAACTGATTGTTCATGCATACTAGTGAGTTCACCTCATTAAGCAAGTTTCCAACTTGATGAACTTTCACTTTCTTGAGTTGCTATTTTATTGTACAAGCTAACACTGTCTATTCGATTTTTTCTGTTTTCTGTCTTCTCTCAACCCCCCTCTTTTTCCATGGTTTGATAGTATAAAAAGTGATGGTAACTTTAACTAAAAATTATGATACTTATATTCTGGATGCGTTCACTCTACAATGTTTACTCTATTACCTTTCAAACATTGAAGGATGATATGTTATTATTTATAGCCATTGTAATTTCAGGGAGTTGTGGGCAGTTGATTAGAACCTGTGAAATGAGATGACGATATCATTTCATACTGCAAGTCTGGTCTTTCTTTCTCTATCGAATTTAGTCGTATCATTTTTAAGAAAGTTACCTGCTAGGCCTAATATGGTTAGCATACGTGTATGTAGAATAAATTTACATAGGTCATTTCGCAATAGGGTTCATCAAAATAATTATTTGTAAAAGGTACGATATTTTTTTGAATAAGAGAAATATTTCAGTCACATGTAAACACAATAATTGCGCTGCAATACGCTTATTATTTTAGAAAGAATCTCTTTTTTAACTGTACTCATTAGTAAATTTTAATGTATGTAAATATAACACGTAGTTCAGCAAAGCGTCTTTTTCCGGAGAACTCATTTTCTTAGTTGTACATTCGCAAATATATATATTAAGGTTATTTTGTATGTATGTGTACAATACGTTCATCAAAACAAAAACACAAATAGTTATGGTTATTTTAACTGAACAGTTGAAGATTGGTAATTCCAGTTACATAATACAAGATCAGTCAAGAAAATTGGGTCTTAATGAAATGAGGGTAGTAAAAAAGGTGGCGAGCTGTCACAAAGTTGTTAAAAGGAAGTTATATAATAATATGAGTGATTTTTACTCAGGATGCACATAGGAACAAAGTAGATAATGCTTCATTACGTAAGAGTTCTAATGAATACAAGAATTATAAGCAAATAAAGAAAGACGCAAACAAACAAAATTAAGTTGTCGAAAATCAACAAAGTTCTTGACATGATAATATAAGTGGTTGAGTAATTCTCTTTTGTTTGAGCAGCTGTGGTTTTCCTGTGTAAATGGCCAAAGCTTCAGATATACAAAGAAGACAAAAGTGTATTGACTTTCGTAGGTTGTTCTTGACTCTGCAGGAGAGTTTGAACAAGGCGTTTGTTGAGATGTAATGATGTGTGCGTCAAACGACCAATGTACCTGGCTCCAAAAGGGCAGGTGAACTGATATTGACAAATAAAAGTGGTCAGATGTGCACTTTTGTCCTTTAGGCTTTTGCAGATCGGCGTGCAACTGAAGAACACTTTTCTTAGCTTTGCCGAGAAGATTGATTTTCTCAGAGATGATGTGGTCCATCTCTCCCTTGAAATCCAAGCTCATAAAGAGTTTCGTTTTCGGCACAAACTCTTGGTTTGCTATGTTTGTCATTGAATTTTATTGGTTGAAGATTTCCCGCAGAATATGTTATTCTGTTTCTAGAACATCGGAACCACAGATGCGTCAGCTGCACGTGGTAAGGGATTTAATTGAATCTCGTTTTTGTTTAATGTGTACTCAGGCATAGTTTCTTGTTAGTTGACCATTCCAAGTAGCCTTTCTGTGGATCGATCGTCTCAGGCTTCAGTTCTTCTTATTAGTTCATTCGATTAACAGACGATTTTGCGGGAGTAAAATCGTGCACAGAACAACAATTTCTCATGATAAAAGCACTTGCAAGTTTTAAATAAATAGTTTGGCTTCACTAACGTTCTAAAATCACTTGAGCTGAAACAGACAGCATAACACTGTTTTCATAAACATCTCTGTAAATAGGCGCAAATAGACGGCTAGGAATCAAACAAACATGCTTACAACAACATCAGACTTTGCCGTCTACATTCTCCCATTTAAACTGAGAGGTAGTGTTTCAAACACTTAAAAACTGATTAATATTAGGACACAATTTTACTTTTATTGTCAACGCAAATCTGATCCGATTCTCAGTCATATTCTAAGATATAAGATACTTTTCATCTTCAGAAGGCTTAGGCTTCATATAGGGTACACTGACAAAACATTATGCATTTCATGTGTGAGTGAAAATGATATACAGGGAAAAGTATGTGCATATACATGAATGAATATATATAGGTCAGTGCCATCAACAAAATATACAGAATTGTCTTAAAATTTATTAGTCAGCAACGGTATATACTACTCATAAATTACTAAGAAAGTATTTTGAAGTCTTTTATACGTTTTAATGCCAAACCGTCAACATTGTCTAACAAGACTATTTTTTCTTCACTTGTAATGACAGTCACAGTAACATAAATGTTTTTGACTGCTTTACTATGTGGAAAAAATGATAATATTTCGTAGTAAGGATATTTTCCGTACTACTTATTCTGCCTCAGCAACCTGCTGCAAAATTATTTCAATGAATAAGTCATTACCGATGTTATTCTCTGTAAAAAGGGACTGTCATGTTTACAACACACTGGACTATTTTGCTTACCAGCGGTACCTGTATTTTATTTGTGAGAAATAGATGTTTAGACGAATCGAATACATTCTGGTGGCGAGTATTTAACAGGTCAAGAAACAGATAATCGAAATGACAATCGAATCTATGTCTTTTATGCATTTTGTCAAATGGAGGTTTAATTTTTTAATATCAGACTTGGATTTCACTGTTTTTTAGTCTATTGGTGAGGACTACAGGTTGTAAAAAAATTGCGGGTGACTGCACGTTGAATTTTATAAGATCTGAACCCAAATAAAGTTAAATTTATCAGTTATTTATGCCAGTATAATTGATAAACAAACGTTCGTTTCGGATATTTTTGGATATGAATCATTCCTTGAATCGGAGTCAACGATGCTGTAGAGGTACACGGATTTACTTAACTCACGGAGTTATATCAGTCTGGAACACATACTATTTAGACTATTTCGGCTTCTCCGGTCAGTGTTTGCACCAAAGTCTATTCAGTCTAAAATACGCTGTTGCTTTTAGGACAAATTGGCTTAACCCAAGAAAATAAACGTGAAATGCAATAATCACAAGAATAAAAAATATTAAAATAACTGTGGTAACTTACGCTTGCAATCTATAAATGTTGTAGTTAACGTCTATTTGAATGAGACCGTATAGGAAGGACATTTTGAAGTTTGAAAACTAGGGTGGATGCCAATTTTATCTTGTATTACCTTCATCTATCTGTGATAAGGTCTCAAAGTAAAAACCTCGAACTTGTTCAAAAATAGTACCTTCTTATTTTAAATTTTTCGAAATTTTGCACAATCTCTATGTCGTGAATTGGCAGAAGTTAGAATTCAAGGACCATTGGATCGGGTCCCAGAGGCTTAATGGTATACAAGCTCGCCTTGTTACCGGAAGCTCCTGGGTTCGAATCCCGGCGGGTGCATACTGCTGAAGAGTCCCAAACTAGGACGAAACAGCTGTCCAGTACTCCCAGGTTTTTTAATGGTTCTCTAACTAATGTCAGCTCATGATGAAATCCAGAATTAATTCTGTTGAACATTGTCCAGTAAATAAAACTGTGAAGGTCAAATGAGTGGTCATTTCTGCATATCTCATGTGATTTATAAATGACACAGGCATTTTCGTTTGCATAATGAATTAGGAGTGATATTTATCCACGATTTTGAGGTATTCTATGGAGTCATGCAACTAGATTTCAAATAGATAGTAGACAAAACTAAAGAGTCTTATGTGCGACAATTGATTCACATCGAGCTTGATTCACTTTAAGCCTCAAATAAACAATAGGTTCTTATTCTTTGAGTATATTTATCAAGGTAAATAGAGTGTGCTATAACGGAAGTACGTCTGTGATTTGCTTAGCAGAAAAATTTAATGATGCTCTACAAAGATCGACAATCTTAGCTGACTTACCACCTGTATTACGGACTTTAAAAGTCAAGCATAATATCGTGATACTTAGAAGGTTGCATAACCAGTTTAGCTTTTCAAAAATAATCAACTGGTCTACGCAAAACTTAACTGCATAGGGAACTAAACTGTGATTGAGCACATTCTCAACAAGTGTGCATGCAGAGGAGCATGATCACATTTCATTAAGTCGATTTTGATGAGTAACATGTCAGAAGGAGTTAAAGTCAGCTGCAGAATATATCACAATGTATGACTCATGGATGCTAAAGTAGCCTAAATCACAATTAGCTTAGACTTTAGGAACCGAGAGTAAAGTGAAAATATTATTTTCAGGAAAAATTTCTGAGCACAGAACATGCGGATGCTGTCGATAATGTAGTCAGGGAAAGAATCAGTCCCGGCATTTTGATATGCTCAAAATGGTATGATATACAGTTATGCTTTTCAAGGACAATTGTATCGATAAAATTCTGTAAGACTATTCCATCTATTCGATTTATAATTCAGTCTTCATAAATACCTGAAGACAGTCTGTCTAAAGAGAAATAATGTGAAGGCAATTTTGACTTTCAACCTATATTTCAATTTTTGGTGCACCTAAGTCTAATGAGTTTCATAGTTTGAAACTATATAAATTAACTGTCAAGCATTAATTACATGTTTGGGTGAACGGTTTGGAATGCATAAGGGAAATACTTTGGGCGAGTTGATGGCAACCAGTTAAAACTCTACAGTTATGCGCTGCAAAATAACAAACACTCAGCTAGACAGTAAACGATGAAACTTACGCAAGCCTTCAAGCTTCTTCTCTACATAGGTGAGAAAATTGTGATCTGAGAAAAATTCTCAGTGATTATTTAGTGTCGATCTTAAGACGTTACAAGGCCAACAAAAATTAAGTCTGCGAACTAATGATCTCAATGAATTCCACGTATTCAGTTATTTAATCATTTAACTTCTGCATGTATTCTTTCGAGAGTGCATCCATTATATGAATACAAATGTTGGCAAGGAAATTTAAAAAAAAAAACTGATATTGTCAATTATTGGTTGTTCTTTTACCCATCATTCAGAATAGACGTGCGAAGCATTGCAGTGTTCATCATGTTAACAAATCGCTGTGTTATTCGGTTCTTTCTTCTAATTTTGTTCATGTCACTTATTCAACTTTCCTGAGTTTAATATGCATTCATGCTTGAATTAAGATTTCATTCACCACAGTGATAAAAGCATTTGAACTCTTTTTTAACCCCTCTTGAATTCTGAATTCATTTTACTGCATGAATATTTGATTTCATAATATCTGACTTACTTAAATCTTCACAATCTTTTGATGTGTCACCTTGAGGAAGGAAATGGATTTAAGAATACAGGTCACATTACCGACACATGTGAAAGTGTAGTTTTCATGTCAGTCGAATAGATGGAAATAAATGGACAATAGAGTGACTGAGTAATTATCTTCCAAGTTAGCTGAAGATTAGTGTATAACAGTAAAAAATTAACACCTTAGACTAATAATTTATTACTTCGGAGAGAGAAACTTTCCACATAAATGAGCTACGATTAAATGGAATGGATTCAGTTGCAGATCCTTGATAAAGACTTTATTTCACAACGGATCGACGAGCCTTCCCACACGACGTAGAACGCGGGATATTTAGGCGTTCTTCTTGACTAATGGTCCATTGAAACGAAACGTATTCGCCCATAAAACTTAACTTTTGCTGATTCAGTCGGCGGCAAATGTCATCATGTGGGTATTTCATGGATAGCTCAACTTTGGACTTTCATCCAGGAATTCAGACCTCTTCATTTAACTGCCACTCATTTGATGACACTAGCTTAGTAGCTAAGTATTTGTCGACAACAGGCAGAAGTGAGGATTAATGGGACATTTAGTTTCATCGAGTTCCAACCTCCCTAAGTAACCCTAATTTCCTCGGTTCTATCTTGTTTTCCTCATAGTCTTATTACCGATGTATATGAAGGAGTAATTTCAAGAACCGAGACAGTAAATATTGTGAGGACGGCGTAGATTTGTTTACCAAGGGATGATATGTATATGGCAAGTAAAAGCTCGAAAAGTGTATTCCGTTATCGTAAATTAAACCAAACGATCAATTATTTATTAAAAACTATTCGTTTGCTTCCTACTTGTAATGCTTTATCAGAGACGGTGATGTATTATTTCTTACATGTAAATGTGCAATGCTACAAGACATCCTGGCATAATGGCAGTTTGATGAGCCAATCAAGCCTAATTAAGTTGACGTATAAAGGAATACGTATTGAATAATCTTGTAATGTTGGTTTTCTATCCAACTAAAAGTCATTAGAACTGAAAAGGCATTGCATGTGTATGATGACGTATGTTTGAGTAAGGATTGTTTCATTAAGTGAGGACAACAACTTCTGTGTAACACTGTTAAAGTGCTTTGAAAGAGACCAGCACAAACCAGTTATAAGCCCTTTATTATTATCTCCTAGTGCTGCTTGACAAATCAGTGAGAAACAATCTAAATATTACGTCAGTGCAGATGTTTATAGAACAAGCAGTTTAAAAACCTGCCTACTGATATTTTGAAATACTATTTGTTATACGTACTTCCATATTAGTTTGTTCATCAGATGTATCACACAGTGAAATAGTATTATTTAATGGATGACGTTTCGAACACAATTTATTGTTCATAATCATATCAATTTTTGTTATACGGTTAGTCATTCATACTTCCAATGATTCACAAAACTACTCATTCCGTCAATAACACTTATTTAAGTGCTACAGTCAGTAACTATTTAAATTTATGATAGGAAATTCAATTTCAGTCTCTATATTTGACAGGTAGACCAAATAATTAAATCAACGTTTCAAGGTTTATCAAAATATTTCTTTCGCTCATTTTTCCTGGAAATCAATTCTAAGCTGAATCATGAAATTCAGTAAATGATGCGAGGATGAGGAATAGCATTTAAGATATGCTCATTACAATACACTATTCATATTTTTATTTATTCATCAAAACGAAAACTTACTTCCGCCTCCCAGGACAAGCACAGTGAACATCGTGGACAATGTTAAAATTAGCCAAATGTGTGACATTTGAATTGATGCATTGTTTGAATGCCGGAGCATTTATATACACTCCATTATCAATAAAATAACGATATTTACTGCTTTGTTCCCCCCTTTACAAGCAACTCTTATGTCTGTGTCACATTCAGCCTTAAAACACACTAAAAACATATTGATTCTAATACCTCAATAGAAAAGAAGATGGATGAAAGTAAGAAGTATCTAGGGGCCATATAGATAACGTAAAACTTCCATCTAGAATTTTCTACTTTGAGCAGAAATGTTTTTGCAAAGCAAATGGTTACTATTTATGAATTCTAAGCACATTTTATTAGCTGTCATATTCTACAGTCATTGATCTTTAGTTGTAGAGCCTAAAGAAGATAACTCACTGAAAAGAGCTGTTCTATGAAATATTTCAAAATTCAATTCCTACTACTAGAAGAACGCACGTATTGACTTTATCTTTTCATTTTTCAACATAAGACGTTGACTTAGGCATTTTCTCTGGACACGTCCTTGCTGAACGCCTAATTTTCATTTTAGTAAGTAATCTTAACTTTAAGTAATTTAGTATATCCCCGAATAGATGTGTTGTTACTTGAACTGTCTGAATTAATATAAAATAGCCAGTTGAATAAGTTTCTGATGACAGCTATGGACGCAATTTACGATGATGAAACCATTCACCAGAAAGAACTGCTTACAGTTATACAACTGCTGGTCAAAGCGGGATAATGTGCAGGGACACAAGGCAATTGGCTGATAAAGAGTATGAATTTAAATACTAATTAAAGGTAGTCTGTATTTTTTAATTTAATTTTTGATTTACAGCTTGATTCCACGCTGCATTTTCGGTACATGTATGGAATTTTCAGCATGGATATCGGTAGCCTAAATTTTGCAGGCCGACCATAGATATCAGGTGTGCGTCGGTGCGGCTCGAACCCCAGACCATGTGCATGGTCGGCGTGAGTCCTAACCACTGTGCCACCGACGCACACTGCATACAAGGAGACTGTGAAAAAGGAAACGAGGTTATATTGTGTAATGCTTCCTTCACTGATGTCGTCGAAGAATGAGTTCCTTATTGTTGGATCATTTTAAAACGATTAAGAATATGTGACACAATTGCAATTCTACGCATCATCATCGAACGAAGCATGGAATGGCAATCAAACCTCAACCTCAACTTTATTGACTTTGAGAAGGACTTCAACAGCGTTGACTGCGAAGTAATTCGAAAACTACTTGAGCACTACGACGTATCCCAAATATTCATCAACCTTATTCAACAACTGTACGACAACCGCACATGTCAAGTGATCCACAATGGAAAACTCAGCGAGGCGTTTGGAGTAAACACAGGAGTCAGACAAGGGTGCTTATTATCACCAATGATATTCCTAATTGTGGTGGACTGGATTATGCGTCAAACAGTGTGAACCGAGAAGACAGGGATATCCTGGACGGATGTGAAGAACCTAGAAGACCTGGATTTCGCGCGTGGATGATTGATGTTTGATGCCACATAAAATCGAAGATTTATAAACGAAAACCGACACTCTGGTCTAAGAGGCAGCCGGCGAATACAGGACCCCCAGTGAACATAGACAAGATGGAGGTTATGAAAATAACCAACCAACAACAACAGCAGCAACACCCAGCGTCAATCACCATCAACGAGAGGGATTTGAAAGAGGTTACTTCATTCACTTATCTAGGGAACATTGTCTCAACTAAAGGAAGAACGGTCGGGGATGTCAAATTGAGAATCGCGAAGGCTAGAAACACATACATCAACCTGAAACCAATCTGGAAATCTTCGTCACTCAGCAAAAAGTCGGTCGAATTTTCAATACAAACACGTCAAGTCAGTCAGTTCTTCTATATGAATCAAAACTTGGCGAGTCACAAAAATATTTCCAGCTGGCTAACTCAGACCTTTATCAACAACTGTCTTTGCTCTATACTCAAGAACAGATGGCCGGAAAGAATCACCGACGAGAAAATTAGGGAACAAACAAAACAAGAACCAATCGCCCAACAAGTATGGAGGAGAAAGTGGAGATAGATTGGATACTCGCTTAGAACGCCGCTGTATGACATCGCGCGCGCGTCAGGCCATCACTCGAGTGGAACCCTAAATGGAAGCGGCGAAAGGGACATTGAATGGTGACATAAAGGAGATCGTGTGAAGAGGAAGTGAAACAGTATGGACTAACATGAATGCAGATGAAAGGCACAGCAGAAGACAGAAGTGGCAAGTGGAGACGTGCATTTGGAGCCCTAGGTTCCACTAGGAACCCAAAGGAACAATATTAATAATATGTGACACAAAGGTGTTCACGTTAATAAAGATACATATGACTAATGAATGTTAGGCTGAAATGGTGAATGATGCAAATTCCGCGGACTTTTAATACATTTTACGGTGAACCAAGTACAATCAGTTGACTGTCTACTCTGTTCGACTGTAGGCATATATGCTCACCAATGAAGCTAGTTGTCTACGGTGTTATTATTTATACTTATAGCTGATGTCTTTGCTGAAATATGATTATAAAAGAAATTCATCAACTGCAGTATTTTGAGCTTATAATTACTAACCCCTACACATTGAATTAGGCAACACTGACTGATTACTGATACGAGCGTACGGTTTGCTAATTTTGTCGACTTTAAAATGTCAACTAAACGAAAATGGAAAACTTCAGTCTTTATGTTACTTTGACACTTCACAACTCAACTCATTCGACGCTCAGGATTTAACGACTTTTTTCTGCTTCCTCAGTAGGCACAATATAATTAAGCTGAGCCTGTGAGACCCATTGCAGTGCATACAAAGTTAGCCACAATAACTGTCGGATTACTTATTTATTTTTTTATTTTTGATTACAGCTTGATTCCACACTGTTTTTTTGGTACAAGTGTGGAATTTATAACATGGATATCGGTAGTCCATATTTTGCAGGCCGACCATAGATATCAAGTGTGCGTCGGCAGGCGATCGACCGAACATTACTTTTAGCAGTTCAAAAGGTGACAGTATACATGTGTCTTAGCACGCATAATTTAATGTTGATTTCAACGAAGCATTTAAAGTTTCGCATTTTACACAATCCCCTTTTTTTTATTCCTTCGTGTTCCCAGTGGAACATAGGGCTTCAAGCTAGAAGCTTGGAGTTTCTGCAGCAGTGTTTATTTTTATAGGATGAGGTTGCTAGTTTCATGCTCAACCTTTTCCTCTTTGCCAGTTTTTTTATTTCCGGCTTAGCGAGGAAAAGGGGTGCGTCGGCCGGAGATCGAACCCCGTACCATATGCATGGTCGGCGAGCGTCCTGATCGCCATGCCAGCAACGCTTACACAACCTCCTGCTGTTAGTTCCATTATGGGTAAATTTTGTTTTGATAAAGTCTCACAGCGTTATACAGTAATGTTTACTGATGACGTTTCGAGCACAACTTATTGCTCATAATCATTGATATGATTATGAGCAATAAGTTGTGCTCGAAACGTCATCAGTAAACATTACTGTATAACGCTGTGAGACTTTATCAAAACAAAATTTACCCATAATGGAATTACACTCCTGCTGTTAGCATTTTTTAAAAATTTCTTTCTTTTAAATATAGCAGAATTTATTGGAAACTATCAGAAGAAGGTTATCTTACGTGTTCGCAGGAAATACAACTAGTCACATCTAATACGTAGTATTAATTTGTCACTGGATAAATCTAAACGGTTTGATTTAATGCTTAATATAATAACGCTAGTAGAATATTTCGTACTACAAAAACACTTAACCAGGCTACTTCGTAAAACCAATAGTAATTTTCAGAAATACCCCTACTTATGAGTTATCAAGACACTTAGCTCTGACACTGTTTGCCTTTAAAAATCATTCAAACTCTAGGCTTACCAATTCATATGAAATAACATTCATTTAGGGAATAATGAAACAAGGATTGGTTTTGGCATAACTAGTCTGTACACCAACTGAACAATCAATATTGCGTAATGATCAGTTTAACGAGAACTAACCTCTGATCCAGAACTTAGTCATAGGACGAAGCTGTCCATTAGGAGAATAATTTCAAGAGATAAGTTATGCCAAATATCTACTGTCTTTAAATTCCTGGGCAAAATATATAGACAAACAGAAGGTGTAGCAATGGGATCACTAATATTTCCCATAGTAGCAGATATCTTTAGGGATGGCTGGTAGGGAAAATATCGCTCATCATACATTTAATCCTACTCCAAAAATATGTTGGAGATGTGTGAATGACACTTTTACAGTGTTAAAAACAGAACGTATCTCTCTCTAGCTTCTTCACATACATAAACCCACTAGTAAAGGGAATAAAATTGAAATTTGAATCGGATAATGAACAAAGAGAATTAGCTATCATGTTGGATTGCAAAATAAAACGAATAGAAACAGGTAAACTGTACATTAGCGTCTATAAAAAGGCAACGCATTCTAAGAGATATTTAAACTTCAATTCGTCTCATCTGTTGTCTGTAAAGGCTGGCTTAGTTAAGTACCTAACAAACCGAGTAATTGCACTAAGTAGTGAAACAAAAAAACCTAATCGATGAGATGAAACATAGAGAAGATTCTAAAAGGTAACATTGGTAGGTGGACGTACGTCACCTTCATAATAACATTCTAACAAGTTACTTATTTTGACCATAAAAACATCTCGATTCCCATCTGATTGTATTTGATCAATAGCACTCATATTATTACTTTAATCAAGTGTCTTATCAGTTTTACACATGTATTTAAATGAAGCAAAAACGTTGTGTGAGTAACTTGATATGTTTATGAGCAATAGTTTGTACTTGAAATGTGGTCATCACTTAACATTACTGTATGTATCAAAATAAATTTTATCTATAATGAAATTATACTCTACCACAGCGCTCAAGTTTTAAAGTTATATCAATAGTCACATTATTACTTTTTAGTCACCTAAAATTCTATTCCATATTGTGCATCTACTTTGATGCCTTTCTCCTATTTTGTCAATATTTAAGTTA